TATACGGTTGGCAGGTTGCAACAGATTTCGGGGTGTGATGTGGATTTTTCTTTGGCAGAAACTTCGGAAGTTAAAAAAAAAAGTGGAAACTATGACGTGCTTTGGATTTTTAAAATTAGGAATTTATTGAGGAAGTTGTTCTGTGATATTTTCTTCCACTAAATTGAACATTTTCGGCCTTTTATAATGAAGCAGTGTCCGATAAACGAGAATGAAAATTTGATGAAGAACGTACGACCTTATAAGATGCCTCCGCGACCCACTTCCATAACAGCTGCCCCTGCATGTGTGTGGTCATGGCTGAGCGTCTGTGTTTGTGTACTTCTGCCCTAATGGAAGAAGCCCCCTGAGGGGAGGGATGGTTAAGGCTGATCGACCTCCAAAAACCACCTGACACACTCCTGCTGAAGGCCTTCAAGTCTCATTAATGTCAGCTTGAATAAACACAGTTTTAAAAAATAACAGTAACTTAAGGCTGTAACTTATTTACTGTAATGTTCTTGCTGTTTATTACATTCTGCTAAATGTCGATGAACCCTTCTGTGTTGCTGGTGGGTGTTTTATTAGCTTTATAAGTGCAGGTCCATGTCTCTGCATGATGTCATTCATTGATTTTTTATTTATTTTTTTACTGCTCTGCTGCGGCCACTAATCTTCCAGAGCGATGCTGCTGTCGACCTAACCGTCAGGATTAATGCTCAAACCTGAGAGGATGTGATGTTTGCAGGCTGATTGCAGCTTAATGTACATAAGGCTTGAACACAGATGTTGGAAATGCAATGACGTGATCGGAGGCTCGGAGTACTCAGCAATACATTGCATGACGGGCTGCACAAAGCACTGAACCAGTTCCTTTTTCTTGCCAGTTCTACAGCCATAAGGTTGTAAAACATTTCCATTGCACTATATATAAATAATTCCTTGCAACATTTTTATGTTCCTCAAATCCTTTTGCTTTTTTTCAGCTTTCTGCTACAAACCCTAAAGGTAGTTTATTAGGATTTTATGGGATAAAGCAACACAAATTATGGTAGTGGAAGAAAAATTATGCATAGTTGTTCCCCTTTTTAAAAGACTTTAAATCAGTAAAATGTGACATTTTTATGTGTCTCCTTTACGCAAATGTGTAAAATGTCCAAATCAATTACTTCAGAAATCCCTTTTGGTAAACTGGGTTTAAAGGTGCATAGTCATGCTATATGCCTGCACAAAAAAGACCAAAACACATTTGACCATGATAAACTTTATACTTTTAGAGTGTAAATATTGGGAAAAAAAATAAACAAGTTGAACAGAAAGGTTACTCTAAGTTAATTTAAATGCTATTAGAGGGAGAGGGGGTATGAATAATAAGTGTTACTTCTTCATACCCCTTTTCAGACATTTACATTAATTGATGTCAGTTCTCTGGATGTATCTACTGACAGGTTTATTTGGTGGAGGGTTTTGGTGTTCAGGTGAATTTAGTTAGTTTGGATATTGGCGTTTGGTTTGGTTGACGTAACTAGTCTTTTTTGTCTGTATTTGGTTGATTAATTTATTTTTGTTTGTCAAATTGTCTGTCTGAAATTGTCTGAAATAATTTACTATTCATTCATTCAGTCAGTCATTTATTAAAAAGGTTATATACACCAAGGGTCTGTCCTTTTAGTGTATATAGTGTCCTTTTTGAGCCTAAATAGAATTCCAGCACCAGGTGCGATGAACAGACATAAACAGACGTAGCTCCATCTGCTGGCTGCATCAAATAACTATCAGAAAGCTAGATGGTTAACTTTAAATAGAGCATGACTGTCCTGCAATCTGACTGCTCGGCATGGTGCAAGACTGACCCATTTTAATTAGTAATCATTTCTACTTGGACTGTAAAGTCAACAGTGTCATTGCTATCACCGGTATCAGTGTTTCCAGAATAAGGATGTTAAGCCATGCATCCATCAACTTTGCAGTCACATCTGAATGCCTTGGCAGCTTTAGCTCCGGCTTTGTTTTTTTTAAAACATTTATACCGTATTGCCAAGGCTGTTCAAGTCTTATCCCTCTTGGAATCAAATATTTTTGTGTTTTTTTTTCTCACACTGGATGTTGGTCGTTTCTCCATTATTTACACACTTCACTGGAAGGTGCTATCTGACTTAGCTGTAGTGGGCTACTCCCTTCTTTAACCCCTGCCCACGTGCAATATCCTGGATTCTTTGTTTTTGTAAATTTACACAAATATTTATTTACTAACAAACTGAGCATTAATAAAGCAAATAAATTGAAATTAAAAATAATGTGACAGCTGGTTGTGGTATTCTTTTAGAAAAACTTCCTACACAACGAAAAGGAATTCACCTCTGATCCAATTAGATTATAAATACTGTTGATCTGTGAAAGCCTCAAAGAATCATTAAAGATAATTAATCAGAGAAGCAGACAAGAAGAATGAGGTAACTCTGGAGGAACTGCAGAGATTCATTCCCTAGCTAGGGAACTATCTGGAACAGGGACAAAGACATGGCCCCTGGCCAACCCTACCTGGTTAAGAAGCAGTTCCCCTTTAAAACAGAAGATGACAGGAATGATACTCTCAAGTGGACTGTTCTCGCTAATCTGACATTTTGTTAGTATCTTCAAATTATACCAAAACACAGCGATTCATTATTTACATCAAAATACTATGATTAAAGATAAATGCAGAATTCATGGTCTTTTCAGACCTATGTATGTATTTTTATGGGGCAAAGATGAAAGTTATGTGTCTCTGCAGGCATGTAGAAGTCTTCTGTGTCATATGAGATAAAAAATAAAAATGGGCAACCCATGCGTATTATTAGGCAACATAGATTATGTACAGCCTGATGGAATGCTGATATTGGAAATTGGTACGATATCAGCCAAAAAACAAATGTAAGAATATGTAAAATCTCTGAAATAAACAAGCTGATGGAAACACTCCTCTTCTGTTTGAAATTTCTCTAACCCATTGGTTGATAATAGCCGGGTCGGTTGTTCTCATACCTTTCAGTTGTTGAGTATTATTCTCTATGTAAGTAATAAAACTTGATCAAGACTTGATGAATGAAGGATAAAAGTATGAATGATTAATGCTGATTTGGTATCGGTCAAAACTCAAAGCTGTAATATCATGTGGTATCATATTGGATATGAAAAAGGTTTTATCGAGACGTTCCTGGCGTAGATGTAAATATGTGTGTAGATTTTATTTAAAGGAATAGTACACCCAAAACATGATTAGTCTTCATTTCTCACCCCCATGCTGAACAACACTCAGGAGTACTTTTTTGATATCTAAAATGCATCTGGAGATCTGGGAGGCTTCTTGCTGTCTGCTGACATTCAAATAATGGAGGTCTATGGTGCCCGAGGCAGAAAGGTCCATAAAAGTCCACAAAAAATGTGTCAATATTCCTCCATACTGCTCGTCCAATGTATTCCAAGTGTCCTGAGTGGGTAGCGTCCATAATTTACTCGAAACAAAGTCATTTAGAATGTTTTTAGAGCATAAACAGTAGTGTATAGGATTTCCTAAAAGCGCGTTCACGAGTCTACGGAAACCGCGGCAGACCAAACCAGACGAAGATGCCTTCGTTTCGAGTAAATTATGGACGCTACCCACTCAGAACACTTGGAATACATTGGACGAGCAGTATGGAGGAATATTGACACGTTTTTTGTGGACTTTTATGGACCTTTCTGCCTCGGGCGCTGGGCACCTCCATTATTTGAATGTCAGCAGACAGCAAGAAGCCTCCCAGATCTCCAGATGCATTTGAGATATCAAAAAAGTACTCCAGAGTGTTGTTCAGCATGGGGGTGAGTAGAAAATGAAGGCTAATCATGTTTTGGGTGTACTATTCCTTTAAAACACTGCAAAAAAAAAAAAAAAGAAATCTAAAGAATTCATTATTTTCTTGTGCATTTTCTTGAAATGAGGAGGTAAGTGGGACACTTTGGTAATGGAACAAGACAATTTACATTTAAAATAAGAAAAATCAGTTGCATTGTCTTATTTCAAGTGCATATTATCTAATTATCTTATTTCAAGATTAAAAATTTACATACTCATATTAATGGTAAAAACATTTAATTTGAGAATTTTTTAAAATTATTTCCAGATCATTTTTGCAGTAAATACCTTCATGAAAATCTATTTTATCTTCACTCATTTATTTGTAAAATACAGATGTTGTACTCGTTCCTTTTCCAGTTGTTACACTGTGATGAGTGTAGATTGACCCTAAACTGGTTTTGGGTCCTGTCAGTTTTCAGCCAGCCCTCGGTGAACATCGGCCGCTGCCTGGCCAATCCCCATGGACATTTTTTTGGCTTTACTGGTCTGAATGACAGTTAGAAAAAAAGGCTTAAGTGATGTAGGTGAAACAGCAGTGAAATTAAACCAAAATAAAAGCTTTTGACCTTTAATCCTGCAGGTTATTTGTGGTGGGACAAAAAGTTAAATGAGCAAAACTCTTGGAGGCTAGACAAGATTTAACTCTGACATATACAGCCAATGTTACAGTTGAGTGGTTTCAATTCATGTTGAAAAAGTCTAAAGTCCAGAAACATAATCCAACTAAGAATCTGAAAAAAAAAAACTATTTAGATGGACCACAGATTTTTTTTTTTTGTTAATTTGTAATTATAATTTACATAAGATCTCAAACCAATGTATTTTTGTCACTTAATTACAGTATCTCCTAGATGAAGTCAACTTTTAGCATAAAGCCATCTAAAACATAGAGAGGTTTGTGGTTTTAAAGTGACAGACAATAATGTAAAAAGAATTAAAAAGGATATGAATACTTTTGCAGGTTATAAAGGATTTTTTATAGGATATAGTTTTTTGCTGCTTATCCATTTAATCTGTTCCAAACAATCAATTTATTCTTCCATCTGTGTCTCTCAGGTTATCACGGGATTCTTTTTCTCAGAAGCGGCATTAGTGAAAAAAGCAGATCTGATTAACTGAGAGACTTTGTGTCTTCCTCCTACAGGGCCGGAATCGATGATGTGGAGACAGACGTGGTGGAAATCGAGGCGAAGCTCGACAAGGTAGGAACCATTCATCCAAAAGCATTGTGTTCTCATGCGAGGTTGTTTCTGTTATTTTATGAATCCTAATTATGAAGACACGCACACAGAACCAGATTAAACACCGAGAGCATACACTGATTAAAGCCACAGAGGAAGCTTTATGTTCCGTAGCATGAAGTGTTGCATATAAATATAACAAAAGGTGGTTCCTAAAAGCAATTAAACAGCAGCTTTTCTTAGAGCAGTACAGTGTATACAATCTAAAATGAGGTAGTTTTACAAATATAGTTCCCTAGAAAGAACATGTTTATGGGAAATCTCCTATTATCTAAAGAGAAAATCAGCTGATCAGTAAGGCATTAACAGATATTAGATATGGAAAGGGAACAGGCTAATGGAAAGATCATTTTATTATTGTAACAAACATTTAAATAAAAATAAAAAGAAGAAGAACATCGTGGCGCTGCACAGTGCAATGGTGGGTAGCAACTGCTGCTTTGCAATAAGAAGGTTCTGGATTTGCATCCTGGCCCCAGCGTCTATCTGCATGAAGTTTGCATGTTCTCCCCGTGCATGCGTGTTCTTTCTCCGGGTACTCCAGCTTCCTCCCACAGCCCAAAAACATGACCGTTAGGTTAATTGGCTTCTCTAAATTGTGTGATTGTGTGCGTGCATCTCTGTGTTGCCCTGCAAGAGACTGCCGACCTGTCCAGGGTGTATCCCGCCTCTC